GTTAGTCCAGCAATCCACCCACAGTACACAATCAGCAGTACAGCCCCCCCACAATAAAGAGTTACTACACCTGTGGTAGTGGGTCACTTGTCCATGTCCAGGAGCTACATCTCGGCTCTGGGGGGTACTAGTGCTCCGGATCAGTGGGTTGCTGAGTGGGCAGAAACCAGTGGTACTCTGCCCTGCTGCCAGCGCTACCATGGGAGTAGCCTGGTTGGAGCCCAGTTGAGGGAATGGCGTAGTAGGCTCCTTACTCTGGACCTGGTACTGATGCTGGAGGGGAAGACGGGCTGTCTCCCCTTTGGATGAACATCCCTGCTGCCGGGGGGGAGGACCGACCATCCCTAGCCCCTGTGAGGTAGATGCAGAGACCACGGTCCCATCTGCACTGTTGTGGGGCTTATGATCTCCCCTTGGTGGGCTAGGCTGCCGCTGGGGAGAGGGGGTAGCCGGCTCCTCTCACTGACACTCTCTCTGCTGGTGAAGGGGGGAACCGACTGTCTCCCCTTTCAATATTTTGTCCTGCTGCTGGGGTGCGAGACCAACGGTCTCTGCTCCCTGCAGGACACTCTGCCGTTGGGGAGGAAGGACGACACCTTCAGCTCCCTGTAACACACACTGCCGCTGGGGAGGAAGGACAGCACCTTTGGCTCCCTGTAACACACACTGCCGCTGGGGAGGAAGGACGACACCTTCGGCTCTCTGTAACACACACTGCCGCTGGGGAGGAAGGACGGCACCTTCAGCTCCCTGTAACACACACTGCCGCTGGGGAGGAAGGACGACACCTTCGGCTCCCTGGAACTCACACTGCCGCTGGGGAGGAAGGATGACACCTTTGGCTCCCTGGAACTTACTCAGCAGCTGAGGTATCTCCCCCCTGGCAAACTCTGCTAGGGCTTGCAGGTACTCTCCTATTATTTTCTTGACGTACTGCACGGATTCCTCCAAGGGGTTGGGTCCATAGAAAATCAGCACCGCATTAACCTCTCTGTCAAACTGCTCCTGAGTGTAGTCAGGCGCCATGCTTGCTCTGCCGAAGTTGGTTCCCTTGTAGATAGGGGCGCTGTACGGGTACTAGCGTTGCCCTCAATTTGTAATCCAGGAACTGGTGTTGTCTTGTAGCTGTCCTTCTGAGCTGTAGAAATGACCCCGTCGCTTGCCACCACTTGTAAGGGATCACCTGGCACCCCGACTGGGTACCTCCGTTGAAGGATGCTCCTAGCGCTTCCTGAGGACTCAAAGCACTGCAGCAGACACCACAACCACCGAACCGGAGAAGCATACACATGCTCTCAAGCATATGAATGCTGTAAGCAGCTGAACAGGAAAAGAATACAATCAGCTTACACTTCTGGCAATCCGCATACAATCCAATTCCCCCACAAATGAGACGACACTTCGTTTGAGGGTCAAGCAGAACTGGTTTACTGGGGCTAACTGCCCAGCTTTTATGCAGGTCTCCCACCTGGGGGACACTCCCCTAGGAGACCAGATGGGAAAATGGGAAACATATTGGACCTTAACTAATCACAAGCTTACAATCCCAGAATGCATCACAATCCCTCCTCTGTTCTGGAGATAATTGGGAAGTAATCCAATTATTTCCAAGGACAGAGGCAAAACTCCATTAACCACATGGTTGCAATAAAACACTAAAATACAATAAAATACATAATGTTACATTTGTCCCATAAAATATATACATTCTACATATCCCCAGATAGCTTAGATATGAGCGCACGTTACTACCGAATGGCGCTCAGATCACATACATACAGTCCAATCGCCATGGAGCCAAAGTCTTTCCCATAGTCTTTTGTTACACGAATAGGCTCCATGGCATGGCTATCTGGGGTGATGCTGCTCATATGGTCAATAAAATACATAATGTTACATTTGTCACATAAAATGTATACATTCTACATATCCCCAGATAGCTTAGATCTCAGCGCACGTTACTACCGAATGGCGCTCAGATCACATACATACAGTCCAATCACCATGGAGCCAAAGTCTTTCCCATAGTCTTTCGTTACACGAATAGGCTCCATGGCATGGCTATCTGGAGTGATGCTGCTCATACGGTCAAACTGCTGAATGAACAGTGATTCGGTTCCACTACCGAATGCAGAGGTAAGGAGGCTGGTGGCTCAGTGATGTTCGCGCAATTAAGTGTCTGTTTTCAGTTCCATGGTGTGGACGCTGAACACTGCTGGCCGTTCGGAAGCTAAAATGGCCGCTGCCACGTGTTCGGCAAACGAACAAAGGCCACCCAGCGTTCATCAATTAAGCTGCGGTTAACCACAGCTTCTGGGCGTTCAATTGGTAGCACACTCCAGTTCCCAGGTGGTCCATCGTTCGTTACTTTGTTCCGTAGGTTGAATCTACCGAATACACTGGCAGAAAGGCGAGAATAAACCTTTCAACAGGGAAGATAACCGGTTTTAACTGCAGGGCCATAGTCTAAAGGGAGCAGGCGAGCAACCAGGCGCACAGTGGCGAGGTTGGTTCCGCCACAAACAGTATGTAGGATCAAGGAGCCAGGAGCCAGAATAACAGGGGACCAGGAACCGGGGAAACAGGAGACAAGAGACAATGATCTGGCAGGGAGTGAGGGGAGAAACCAGAATATATAGGTGCTAAACAAGGGCCAGGTGAAGTGCTTAATGAAAAGAAATGAGAAACAGTGCCAAACAGAAACAGTGGTGAGTGTGAATACTGCACGAGGGCATATTAACTAAGAAGTGTCGAAACTTAACGAAAATTAGAAACATAGAATGTGACAGTAGATAAGAACACCCTCACACACACAGCACCCCTCTTACACACACGCTGTACCCTTCACACATACACACAGCACACCAAACACACTGCGCCCTTCACACATACAATACGTCCAAACATATATATGTATATATATATATATATATATATATATATATATATACACACACACAAAATACGTCCAAACACATATACGTACATATATGTGTTTGGACATATTGTATGTGTGAAGGGCGCAGTGTGTTGGGTGTATGTGTGAAGGGTGCAGCATGCATGATATTATTATTATTATTGCCATTTATATAGTGCCAACAGATTCTGTAGCGCTCTACAATATTATATACTACAGCACCCCTTATACTGCCCCACTACACACTTTACGCTCCAGATACACGCTAGATCCCTTACACTATATACACTCTGAATCCTCTATACACACACACACACAATCTCCTATACACACTCTGGGTCCTTTACACACAAGATCCCCTACACACACTGACATACAAACTCTGGATCCCCTATGCACACACTACATTCCTTGTAAGCAAACACATACGACATTCTCTAAACACACACTCCCTACAACCCCTACACACACTGCAGCACGTATGCACACACTCACTACATCCCCTATACACACTATGCCCCCTATACACACACTCGCTACAGCCCCTAGCCACACATATTACACCACAAACACGAATTAAATTGTATTTACACAATACCACATCACAATCCGCTTACTCTACACACACACAATCCCACAAGCAGGCTCCAAACACATGCACCATACGCTTTTGTCGCCCTTTTGTCCTCTGATATCCCACTTATGGAGACACCAGAGACAAGTTAAAGGCAAACACAGTGCAAGCATGTTATTAAATTTGCTTGCGCTGTGCAGAACAAATACAGGGCCTTTTTCTCATGCTAGAGCTCTTCAGCAGGGCTCTGCGCATTGAACCAACATGCTCACTTTGAGAGGGTGCGTGCTTGTCATTAGTTATGACAAAAAAACACCCTCTCTGACCCCGCCCCTTTCTCATGGTGCCGCTGTGATTGAAAAATGCCCGGGCCAAATTTTTTTCCCAGTCCGGCCCTGGCAGGAATGCAGAATAATTTGCAACATTTAGTAAAATGTATGCATTTTTTGTATCTGAATGCTTTTAATTACTGTATTATTTGCTTTTGGTCCCTGAGGAAGTTCCTTTGCATAGGAACGAAACGCGTAGGACCTCATTTTATTTTATTTATGTGGCCTATGTATTTGGTCATTTTTCTATAAATAAATCTGCATATTTATTTTACCCTACCTATATTGGAGTCTCATTCCATATTTTGGTCCGCTTGGAGTTCCAGTGGAGAGTGGAGACGTTTAGCCGCCCACGGGGGCAGGCACCTTTTTGCCGCATTATCCATTTGGATCCTGTGAGTGCATTATTATATCAGCGCACTATAATTTGTTTCTAGCTGTATTACACTACGTATTCTTTTTGTTCTTATTCTAGATTATACACAGCCGACTCTCTATTCCTTTTGTGTCTATGTATATGTTGTAAAAGGTCAGGAACTGGGCTACGACCTTGAGAGGCTGTTGTAACTTTATCAGATAAGTATATTCGGATACCATTATACTATTTGAGGTATCATCTTTATACACATTGTTTTTTTCTGATTTAGTAAAATGAGGCTGACAAGGAAGTTTACACTTTTACACAAGGGCAGCAGGATTTAAGCACTTCTTGAGCAGTCCTGTCCTCCCTCCTTCTTCATATCTTTGTCTATTTGCTATCTCCTTGTTTTCACAGGAGTTTCTAACCAAACCTTAAAGGAAAACTATAGTCACCAAACAACTTTAGCTTAATGAAGCAGTTTTGGTGTATAGACTGCCACTGCAGACTCACTGCTCAATTCTCTACCATCTAAGAGTTTGTGTAGGCCTAGTCAAACCTCCCTGCATGTGACTTACACAACGTTCCTAAATACTTCCTGTATTGTGAGATTTCATATTTAAACTTCCTTTGTTGCACATACAAATATACAAAATTTAGCCCTGTGCTCAAACTCCCACTACTTATGGCTAGCAGCGAAGACTACAGTTCACATCAGCCTCAATACATGCAATAAAGAAAAAAAGTTATTTGTACACTATTCCAAATCCCTATGCACATTTAAAAAACTGGAGTTTTTTTTTAGTTGCCATTTAAGTGTAAGCTCACTTGCCCCGTCAATACATAACCTTTTAGGCTATTCCTACACTAGCAATTCACACTGCTGTCTTCAGCTAACAGGTAAAAACATCTAATGAAAGAAAGAGGGGTAGTTATCTAAACCTCTAATCACTTATTAATCCTTAATAAGGAATACAAGGGGTGGTGGCAGCACTGTACAATGGCTGTGTAATGCAAAAGTAAATGCAAACATACAAAATTAAGTCCTGCTCTTAAATCCCCACTACTCCTGGGTGGCAGCGATGACTATACTATACATCAGCCCCAATTCCTTTATTGCTCAGTTTGTTTAAGGTTGAATTTATTATCTCCTGCACTGTTAATAGCCTGCCAGACCTTGTATGAGCCCCTATGTGTGCTTAAAGTTAAATTTGCAGAGCAGAATATTAAAACAAAATTCTAAAGTAAGTTAACATCTGCTTGAAAAAATAAAACAATGTTTTTATGCAGGCTGTGTACGTCACAGCCAAGGGAAGTGTGGCTAGGGTTGCATGGACAGAAACAAGTGATTTAACTCCTTTGTGGCAGAGAATTGATTGAGCAGTGAGACTTCAGAGGAGGCATGATCTATACACAAAAACTGCGTCAGTAAACTAAGGTTGTTTTCGTGTCTATAGTGTCCCTGTTGGTGTTATTGTTGGTTTGGTGTAGGCCTAGGTTATAATGTTTCCAGTTTTTTAGAAGGCACGACTATCACATTGTGATGAAGTGCCCTTCGCCACTTGGTCCTGGAGAGGCCTACTTGCCAGCCTCCTCCCCTGTGACTATGACTCTTTCATGTATCTGGCTTTAAAGCCCCTAGTCTACCTTCAGACAGACTATTTATGTAGGCTGCTTTATTTATCTTATGTTTTAGTCACCCTGTACCCATTATAGGTGCAGGGTGTGTGTAATGTAATTGTTTATAGTGTGTACTGTGTAATGTATTGCCTGCTCTCTTGTATTGCTGAGGTTTGCTACCAACTAGGTGGGTTTGGCTATGGAGCTTGTCTAGTGCCCTCTGTTGGTAGCAACAGCAATATGCACTACCTGAATTGCAAGACTGGTTCATTTGCATATTGGGGTAGATTTGCATATTGCTAATTCTGCAGGCAGGTGAGATATTTACTGTTAAATATTGTCTCCCCCCACCCCTTTAAAAATGTGCCATTGTGTTGTGATAAGTCACTGTGTGTTGCTTGATATGGTTTGACTGTTTGTGATTTTATTGAGGTTTCACAACAATGTTATTGTGGTGACCCTATTGGCTGGTCCCAAGGGAAATAAAGGTTTTGACAGTTCTTTTTGATTCCTTCTTAATGTAGCCTTGTCTCGTTATTGGAGGGAGCTGTTATAATCACACTGGGGATTGCTATGCTCTGCATGCTCCCCTGAGCTTGAGTCACTTAGCTCTTTTAAGAGCTTGTTCCTGACACGCTCTCCTTGGGGGAGGGGTCTTCACCACACAGTCCTGGAGGACAGAAGCTGATCCAGGGTGGAAGGAAGACGGCGAGACTCCAGTCAAGATACGGCGGTTGCGGAGTCTGCGGTGGTTGTGGTGTCTGCTGCTGTGCTTGGGAGTCCTCAGGAAGCGCTAGGAGCATCCATCAACGGAGGGTACTCGGTCGGAGTACTGGGAGCTCCGTTACACACATGAACATGAATTTCCAACTCAACACCTAAAAATTCCTAGCATTTATCTTCATAATACAGATATGTAAAAGACACATTTTTTTTTTAATTTAATTTGAAAATAAACATGATAGAGACTTGTACCTGTTGAATTACATTAAAATTAAGATCAATGTACTCAATATTATTCTTGAAATAGCAGTGAGTACACATGTGCATTCATTAAAAGAAGACTGTTAGAACATACTGCCATAAGCTAGCATAAGGTCAGTTGTTCACATACTTTACATCCCAGAAACGTGGACTGCAGTTTCAGGTAATAGATTCAGAGTGCATATCCCACAGACCTGACATGCATGCATTTTCTCTATATGACGGTACCCATCTGTATGTGTTTTTATGTCAGTATTAGATTATCTATATCCAACATGCAGGCTTTTTCCCTCGGGGCAGAAACAGGGCACATAAGCATAAGTGAAGATGCAGAATAAAATGGATAGCAATTAAGCTATTAGACAGATGGGATCCTTAGCTGAGTGCTATAGAGAATGCTTTTTCTTTTCTACTGCTGCCCACTCTTAATGTCCTAAAATTACACATTTATAAGCACCCAAAACAAGGCAACTGGTTGACCTATTGGGGGCTGCTCATGGGAGCAATTGAGAATAACAATTTCTGTAATCATGGCTGTTTTAATTTAGCAGTTTGTATAGCAACACATGCTTCATCCTAGAAGCCTACATTTAAACTGCTGAAGTTAAAGCCCATTTCGTTCCTTTCTTTCTTCCTGTAAGCAAAGAAATGAGTCTGCAATTGTCCCAAGCAACACAGAGAGAAACAAATTGGTCAGTAGAAAAGAAATAATAATTTTTGGATCTAGCGCAGCTCAGGAGGGCGATTGTGACCTTTTCATTTAATTTGTTGACGAATTGTGAGAAATTGAGTTTTCTACACAGAAAAGAAAGAACTCACCTCCCCACGGCCATGTTTTCTAAGGGCTAATATGTGTTTCTTATTCCCACAAAGTCCAACTTCTTGGCAGGTCAGAAAGGGTCTTACTACTGTTATAACGATAATACAAATCTATTTATATCGGTGGTTTTTATTAGCCATGTGTCTATTTTACCTTAACTGAATCAAGAAATAAACATTGCTTGTTAAAGAAACCCAGTTGAAACGTTGCTATATTGCCTAATTCAGAGATATCATTTTTTTCACAATAATGAGTGTTGGGCATCTTTTTTGTTTATTCTTTGATACTTATCTAGAAATGCAGAGCCGGAGTCATTGTACTTTTAAGAAAAATAAAAGAGAGTGCTCTCTCATACCATTGTTATTCACCAAATAAAGAAGTATGTGACAGACTGACTGACAGACAGACAGATAATCATGTGAATTAAAAA